AAATATAGCTAAATTGCGACTTCTGAACAGCAGACATATATTAAAATAATGTTTTTTTATGTAATCTTGGGCAAATATAAATGTGATTTATTGGTTATCAAGTCACTGGATATTTCTTAATTACACATTTAATTTCCTTCATGTAATTATTTGCCTGAGGAAAAAAAAAATAAAACTGAAACTAATTTCATGAAGAATCTTCATTTTCAGCCTGCAGACTCTTTTCAAGTTTTTTCTCTGTTAGTTATTCTCACCCGCAAAACATAAGCACGTTGCTAGAACTGGGGTCATCTTCAAGGGGCACGAGCTGCTGGAGACACAGCTGTTCACAGCCTCCATTGAAACCATCCGTGCAGTCAATGCCCCTGGAGTAGTCATAGCAACCTGAGCCATCCTTCATTGGCCTCAGACCCTCAGGACACTGCAAGAAAAGAGAGACAGGGAAAGAATGAGAGGTGGTGGGAGGGAGAAGCAGAAAGAAGGAGAAGAAGAAGGGATAGATTAGGGAGAGAGTAAGGCAGAGAGGTCAGCATGCACATTTTAATCAGGATCTGGCAAAGACAGAGGTAAAAGATGAGAGAGGAGAAGTGTAATTTTGAGAAAGAAGGGAGGTTTTCAAGAAATGAAGAATCAAAGATGCCAATCATCTTATTTGATGGAACAAAGAAAAGCTGGTTATCTTTAAGTGATAAAAAATGAAACACTGCCAAATGGTAGCTTAGAATCATCACGACATTTCATCCCACTGCTTGACCAGAATGATATTTTAAGTTGACACAAGCCTGTGCTCTTTTTGTTTTATGTCAAAAAACCCCACATGTTATGCTCTCCACACTGACAGGTGGAAAAGAGTGGCAGGGCAGGGGGCTCTGTGTTTACCAGTGGAGACATGGATGTCTATTACCCAAGCCAACAAACTGTGTAAACAATGAAGAGGATAAAGAAAATGAAAAGTGTTAGATATTCTAGAGCTAGGGGCTTTGAGGAGTAGAAATGATCTCAGTTTCATACATACAGCACACCTTCAAATGACACTGAGGGCATCGAGACTTATCAGCACTGGTGATGGTCAGTGGTGATGTACTAAGAAGCGGGGTTGCTTAAAATAATACCAATCATATTCACCTTATTGTACACACCCTGGAAAAAAATCTGAATGGGAACAGTGGGTCCAAAATTGAAACCTCAGATTGGCTCATTTACAGCACAGCATTTAATTTATGAAGTGTTTAATTATATTTTCTGCTGCATAAGAAATGCTAATTAAGCATAAATGCAACAACAGCCAATACATTCTATAACAAAGCTGGCCATTTTTCTTATCATTAATAGCTTGTTGAATTAATAGCCTATTGTTCGTGACTTGGGTTGTATTATCCATCCCGGATGTAAACAAAAGACAGTTACACACACAAAACAAAGATGTGAACTGATGAACAAACATGATGAACTTCTCTGCTGGTTCAGCTGAAAAGCAAAATGCTGATGTAAATAGTACTGAGACCTAATTGTCACATAAAAAATGAGAGAATAAATTCTTTCTGTGGAACTTATTTTATATAATGATAATATTTAATTAAAAGTCTTATAAGCAATTAGAATAGAATGTTGGGACTTAGAATTTTAACCATGAATGTGTTTTAAATATATATCTTTGATATATTCCTTTAGTAAGTGAAGCTCTTTCTTTGTCACTTTATCTAAGATACTTTCTGTAATTGCTACTTGACAGTGTTTTCATGGTGTAAAAGAAAAAAGACAGACACGTCCAACCCAGCTGCCTTTAGCTCAGCATGTATCGCAGGGCTGGAGGTGCTGGCAGCTGCAAGATAAACATGTAATCTGACAAAGCATGTGGCAGAGACAGCACACACAACTCCTAAAACTATGATCATAAATCTTTTATTGACACTGACAAGAGCAATGTATTTTGCTCAGCACTTTATCTGACACATTTAGCAATTGTGATGGTGTGGTGTGGTTTATTTTCCAAACATTCCACAGGATCTCCAAATAAACAGAAGCATTTACAGTATTTGCCGATTAGCAGTCACATGTGGTAATGCATTAAACAATTTTACAGACTGTCAAAATATTTTCGGTAAAACCAGCATCAGAATTGTCACAACGTACAGGACTGTAACATGTAGGACTAATAAAAGATTCTGTTGCCCTCCAAGTGAAAACATTGCTCTGCGGTGTTAATGCCGAATACACCAGTTTACCACCATCAAACTACAGGCCTGAATGCAAAAGAAGTAATGTGTTTAACTGTTGATGGTGCAGTAGTGTCTTCACCAAAGCAAAAAAGGAAAGAAAATGTCATGCCACAATCAGAAAACTAGCTTTTTGTTTCCCACTTAGCAAGCATTGCTGTGACTGCCATGGTATATACTAAATCCTAATGAGTCACATATTAAATGCTAGAAAACAGCACTTATTTACCAGAATGGTAGATAAAAAAGGATGTATATATACAGTAATTGATACTATGAATAGTTTATAGTCACCATGAAAACCTGATCATGTTTGAATATTTGATGGATTGGGCCTGCTGGGTGCAAAATCCAACAGTCAATTTACAGTCTCAGACATCAGCCACATGCTGAAAATGTGTTGTTTATAACAACCAACAAATCACTTTTCTCAGAGCTGCAAGCAGTGATGTCATTTCTTTTTTGTTAGTACTGATATGCTGTAACTACTCTGTTGGTTTAAAAAGAAGAGTGCAAGAGACTCTGAGATTATTTCACACTTTACAGAGCACTGTTCACTGCATTCACTGATGGCCACTCTGACTCATCTGTGAGTTCTCACGTCCTGTTTGTTTGTGTAGGAGTCACTGTGGGTGTATGAGGCATGGTGACATACAGTACTCCTGCTTAAAATACAAACAGCTGTTACCATTTACATTTTAGTTGTGTGAACAAATGATTAAGGAAACACATTGAGGATGTACAGTATAGAAGATGTACTTCCCTTGCTGTCATAATTTGTCTTCTCATAATGTGAAGATCATGATATCAAATTAAGATCTCTATCTCATAAAATTTAATCAACTCAGTTTTCACACAAATCATGTAACAATGAAATTAGGTTACACTGTCTTTGCTGTAGACATTCCCAAATTTACCAAATGGGTTGATGGAGAGCATATTTAATCTCCTAGAAGAATCACAGCCAAGCCTAAAAAAACAAACAAAAAAACAAATTTACGCATCGTTCACACACAACTTCTGAACAAAGTCCCATATGTCTGACATTCAAAGGAAAAGCTCTCCAGTCTCAGATCCACTAATTGTGTTCTCATAAATGCAATGCTAACTTCTTCACCAGCACAAGATTGGAGCCATTCATCACACTGAGGCTAAGCCATGGGAATAGCTGTCTGTAATTCAGGATTGTCATGCAGCACTCTGCAGCTGAATGAAAGGACTTAAGGTTAGCCATTAGTGCGGCCTGCTACCTACAGTACTTGCTCTTTCTGCTCGAACAAATCTCTAAAGACACAAGAGCCGGGGAGTGGGAGGATTTACATTTCAGATAAATGAATTTCAGTCAGTTATTCTGTAGTGATGCTGCACTGGGAGCAGAATGAGAACAGGCCAAAAGATTAGCTCCACTTATTCAAGAAACACAGAAACAACTTTATTGATTGATCTTATTGCTATAATTAGCTTGGCAGCTGATCAGTCATTGAAAAGAAAATCCATCAGAATCGGGCAATTATGCATTTATTATGTAATACATTTAATGTTTAAAATGCAGCAAAACACACAAGTGTGGTGTTTTTGTGTGCTTACAACTCAGCACGTTAACTCATATATAATTAATATCTTAAATTACTAACTTAAACATGATAGAGTGGGTGTTTACATTGTATTTTTTTCCTCTATTTTACACCTGCATATCTGCTTTATCCCAGAGTGTAGGCATATAAAGCAACATAAAACACTAAGGGCTGACTATGTATATGATCCCTGGGGGATAGTACAAATGAGAATTTTATGACACCATTAAAGGCCAGAGTGATGGTATTTTACTCTTGAGAATACTTTTGGGATTAAAAGTACAGGGTAAGCAAGTTCAAACAAATGAAATAAAAATGAACAAGTAAGTATGCATGAAATATTACTGCACATATGTATATCTCCCAACACATACTGCACATAGATCACCCCTGCAAATGAAAGTTCACATTCTGAATGGATGCTATTCATTTTCCTAATCACCCATTAGTGCCCTCGGCTTTAATCATGAACTAAGCATCAGAGCTCAGTCTCATAATGATCTTGTCAAAATTAAAATGCTGGATGTTCATTCTTAGTGGCCATCACATATATCAGTGAAAGAAGAGATAGCAAGGAAAGTGTAAACAGTGAGCGCCCACAAATTAACATCGAAATTACAATCGAATATGGCTAGGGAAATGCTGCCAACAGAGAAGACCTGGGAAGTACAACTAATAAGGAGATCAAATTTTCTAAAGTAAATCTGTGCTGAGACTTCCACTAAACACACTAAGCACTACATAGGAGGATATTTACTAAACCTGCTATACATTACCATCAGGTGCACAGCATATTGCGGGACCGCGATTTTTTAAATTTAGCAGCATATTTATCAACAGTGATGATGTAAATGAGCACAGATGCAGATGTGCTAACCTGAATACACCTCAAATTACGATCTGCTGCCTGTTGGCTATTGTGCACATGTGGACCCTCAGTGCTTGAACTTTAATATGATTGAAGAAATCAACTAACATAATTCGGAACAGCAGTCAAATAGTCTTCTGCCAGTCAGATCATCTTTTATTTTGTTCAGTATCTGAAGCTTGGTTTGATCTGAAAGCCTATAAAAGTCCCTCACCTTTTCCTCTGGTGAGCCATGCGATTTACAAACACTCTCTCCCTCCTCAATCGTGTTCTTAACTCTCAGATGGACAACAGCTGCCACTCTGACAGCAGTGGCTCAGATTTTACACCTGCTTTCTCCTGATGTTAAATTTTACAACCATGTCGCAACCATGGTAAATCAGGCGGTGAGGGTATCTGCATAAATGTCTATTCTGTCCTCCCTTATTTTTGCATCCCTGAACAGGAACTACATTTTGTTTGAGACCAAATCCGTATATTCCAGTGGTGCTGCATTTCTTGTTTTCCTCCAGTACAAAAGCCCACTGTGACTCCATAGTAAATATGAACACAGGCTATTTTAATGTTTAGTGCCAAAAATAACCCTAGTAAATATCCCTCATAAAGTCTTCAAAACAGCACAGCTCTAAATCACAGAAGGGGAAATGAAGTACTGTAAAAATCACATTTTGAGAGTCTAATCTGGTTTAGAGGTACAGTAGCAAAGTGGCATGCCCTGCAACTCCACTGCTGCTCAGATTGACTAAATTAGCCACAACAGTTG